AATTACCTACTTGACTCTTTTGGCAAGAAAAGCGTCCCAGTCAGCAGTCAGCTACACAAATATGAACGTGAATCATTGTGCCAACAAGTCATATGGCTCCTGTCTAAATGGAATCATAGGAGGAATGACTTAAAACCTCGTAAATCCTACAGATGAATTGTATAGGTTACAATAAAAACTTAAAACAGCTGATACGCTCTGTGTTTGGATACTTTCTTCATGGTTTTGCCTTAAAATGTTTTCTACCTGTCTTTTTCTCCTCACACCTTACTGCATCTTATTCTATTTAGGTACTCAGGCAGCTGCCCTACTGTCAAACTCACACATGGGTATTACTTCTAAACACCAGACTCTCTAAACTTAGCACTGAGGTGGGAATGTCGTATTTTCATGGGTGTCCATGCCGCTCCACGCCTATTGATGACTTCAAATAAAAACAGTGCACCGACGTGCATGGGGGCTTGTTGACTATGACAAACACACAGGCTCATTTGAACACAAACAGGGGCCGACCTCTGAGGAAGCAGAGACCGTGACTGAAAACACTGGGGGGGTTCATGGATGACTAACCTTAAAAGAAGACACGCTTTGTTGGGTCTCAGCAACACTGTTAATTTAACAGCAGACAGCATGTAGAATAATACCTTTCTAAGATTCCACTACTTTTGTATTTCAGAATTTATTTTTTTTCTGTCATTATATAAGCTTGTTTGTGGCTTCTGTTAAAGTTTTAGATGGAGACAGACAGCTCCGGAGTTTAAAGATGCGGGAAATTTTAAATTTCAAATTTTGAAGGATGTTCAGATTAGATCAATCTAAGTGTTTCACATTTATAACAGAAATTCACATGGAATTGCGCTGAATGCAGATACTAACATTGGGGCTGTTAGCAGCTAATTGTTTGTCAATGCTCACACATCTTTAGTGTTATTTCTGTCACCACAGAACAAGCTTTGTTGTCCACCTTATGTAAACTATGCAGAAAGGCAAATGACATGAAATGTTGCTTTAGTATGCTAATGTAACCGGCCTCTGAGTTGTGTAATAATGCACCGTTCAATCACTCCAAGTCAGCCAATAAATGGCGTGTTTAGTCACTGGTTATACCCGCAAAATTAAAACTAAACTTTTCCCAAAACTAACTACAGATTATTGTTCTTTAAAGTAATAATTTCAAGGTAAAACCAAAAGACAATACATTAATAAAAATATAAGATGAAGGAATTTTGGTGGAATGAATATTCTTTCTTCCATGTTACACTAACTTATATTATTTAAAAAAAAAAAAAAGAGTTAAACAAGAACTAAATCCTAATGCCTGTGGAGTCACCTAAAGACATCTCACAAACCTCGTAGTAAAACCTTGCAGGTTAAAGGTATAATGTCAAGTTATTAAAGTCTGTTGTCTTCCAGCAATGCACTTATGTTATCGTTTTCTCACTGGGTCAGCTTCTTGCATTTATCACATAGTGAACCAGCCTAAAATCAGCCACTTTGTTAGTGCAAAAAAGAAAATTAAAAACAATCCACTGGACTTTGTTTCCAAGTTTGAAGACGTTTCGCTTCCCATCTACTGTAGGAAGCTTTTTCAATTCAAAATGTCAGGAATAAGGTTGAGTTAGAGGTTTTATACAGTAGCTCAACAAAGCCTTGCTTTTCTTTTTTTTGGAATGACTATGACCTGGATGACTGAGAATCTTCACCAGCGTTGTTAGTGCCAATAGGATGTTTTCCCGACTCTGCATCACACTTGAAAACATCATATTTGTACTTAACTTGGCTGACTTTTTCGTCATCCCTCAACACAGCTCAGTGTTCTACTGCATTTTGCACCATATCTATTTATTTTGCACTGCACTGAACCTTTCCATATCAATGCCTTTAGCACCATGACTTTTAAACTGGTTTTCCTTTTCTCCTATATTGTTAACATTCCGATCACTGCTGCACTTTATTATTGGGAACATTCATTTCACTGCTGTAAGCTGCTCATTCACTGTTGAAAAGCTGTATGCATCAAATATTTTTTTTGTACAATCTCTCTGTATACAAGATGACAATAAAGTGTGTCTAAGTCTAAAATTAATTAAAAGGTCAACATCTCCATAATAAATTGTAAAGGTTAGCTTGATCTTAAATAATGGAGATAATCTAAATTGTGTCAATATTATCTTCAGATGATACCTGTAATAATAATAATGATATAATAATAATATATATGTACTGATTGGGGTACATTGAGGTAAATATAAAATTAAAATCCACCAAGAGGTAGTTTGTTTGTGTGAAATTAAGGCCCTGAAACATATGCTACGCCTCAGGGAATGTAGAGCCGAGCAGTACTAAAAGAGAACAGTGTTAAAACCAAAGAACAAATATGAAAGAAACATTAGATGACATAACAGCTGTGCTATTTAAGTTCACCACTGCGCCTGTGAATTGTCTGATCATAAAAACATAGAAAAATAACAAAAATCATAACATCTCCGATGGTCAAGTTTACCTGAAAAAATGTTTCTTTTCCATGACCCTGATTATGCTTGTATTCCCTGATGTACAGGGATGAGGAAACAGGAGGTTGCACAAGAATCTGTTTGGCTCAACATGCTCCCTACGCCTTCCAGTACTTTTATTTTCCTGTTTTTCTTTGGTTTGACCGTCTAATAGGACATGCAGTACACACACAGCCGCACAATTACTTTCTCATTAGGTAGAGTTTGCTAATTTTGTTCCTTAAATTTAATTTTGCGTTATAAAACACTACGTTTTAATCCACACAAGAAAGATCAAAATGGATCATTCACTAAAATAGTGCTTGAAGAAACAATAACCCTTTGAAGTAAGTATCAGATGAAGGAATGTCTTCTATTCAGAGAGTTTGGAAAATTCCCTTTTATAGGAAAATATCCAGTTATGTCACCTTACATTCCACTGCTGCATGCAGGGTAGGTAAAATACATTAACCATCATTGTGGGCATGATGACTCAGGATAGCCTGTGTCAAAGTGCTTTTCAGTTCCATCAGACAGGAAGTTGTACCTTCGAATGTGCTCAAACACAGGAAGTTGATATCAAGATGCCTGGAATTCCAGCATTTTGTTCTCTTTATGATCCCAAGACTATAACATCTCGAATCTTACAACTTAAAACTAGTATTATTATAAATAACTTTTTGTTAATGCTGAATATACAATGTATTTCAAAGGAAACACATATGACAAGAAACAATTACAACAATGGGAGTTTTATTGACATCAGAAATATAACAGTGTGTGCTACGATACGACCCTGAGAGAAAATATTGTAGAAAATTGTGATGTTATGTTTGGGGAGATGATTTAGGATGATCAATCCTTTGCAACGTCTGATTTAGCTCTCTTTATCTCCCCGTCATCTCTGACCAGCATTACTGTTCCTAGTAAAGAAAGCATTCCCACAGTTTCATGCAGCCACTACCATGCTTTGTTGTGAGGATGTTGTGTTTTCAATGCATCTTGTATACTCGTGAATGCAGTTTTAGTATTCATGCACAGCAGATTTTCAGGTTATTTGTAAAAGCTTTGTAATATATACATGGATTCAAGAGGTAAAATTCTTTTTGTGAGGAACTGCACATGCATGCAGAACATATTGCTTGTTCATTGCGCTCTTCTGCCTGCCTGCAGAAACTGACTAACCCTTGAACTTTCTATAACCTCATTAAGCCGAACAGATGGAAAGAAAAACAGAGCAATAAATTTGAAATCACTGTGAAGATGTGTCTGCGTGTGTGGCATGGATACAGTAAGATACTGTAAGCTTTAAAATGGATACAGCAGTCATGTCATTGAGTAAGCAAAAGCCTTTTCTGCTTTTTATTTTTAAATATATATATTAGGATAATTTATAACCAGATAGATTTGGATTGATATTGATATTTTGATTTTAACCATTAGTTTCTAACCATTCATTTTTAAACTTTTGGAGTGGCCCAGCCAGAACACTGATTTTACTTTTATAGATAAGTTGGAGAAGAGAGAGAAAATTATACATTTTTAAAAGAAGGTGCAATAAAAAAATAAAAAAATCCTATTTTCAAAATTGACACTCAGTTAAGAGTTTTATGAATAATTTTTTGGTTTGTCTGTAAAAGGAGTTTTCTTTTTGTAATTCAGCCAGTACCTAACTGTGTCATTTTCAAACTGGTTTTCATGGAGAGCTAAATTTATGTTTCTGAAACCATTGAAGTCAAAGCTAGTAGTTTAGGCTAATTTGTCCCAACAAATGATTAAAACAAAAATGTGGGATTCTTCTTCTTCTTTTTTTTTTTATTACTGAGAATGAAGAAAAACGCTGAAAATGAATTTGATGGACACCCTTTCTATCCTATTAGTTGAGCAGTTTTCGTTTTTTTTATTTGCTTCATTTTTCAATCATCCAAAGATAAATAAATACTATAAAGTACCTTTTTGTCCAAATCATTACTAAAAGGCCAATTAATGAAATGTCTGCATTAAACTAAATGATTTTAGCTGAGAATTTCCTCCAGTTAAACTTCAGGACATGCGTTCAGGCTAACCTATTCTCTAAAAGTCTCGAAGAAACAGGAAATAAATAACCATTACATCCTGTATCCATTAACTCCTCATAGCAAAAGTAATCTTTAACTTAAATAATATGAAATATCTCTACAAAGCCTTAAAATATTCCAAACTTTTTTTTGTTTTTGATGGCCACAGAGACATCAAAAAGAGAGAGTCACAGATCACAGCATCTCTTCATATAATAATTTACATTTCTCTCTCTAGAATGCAAAACCTCTTTTTACCTTATCGACTGATGCTTACTTAAATATCGTGGAAATAAAATCAATAAAGGACTGTGCAAAAGGAATAAGATGTTTTTTTTTTTCTATAAAAGCTCAAGCAGCTTATAATAAAGTAAAAAGCTTATAAAAACAAGAACTGATTGGTTATTTTTGCTTCAAACCCCTGCTGTGTCTCTTTCTTGCATGCTGCTGTTTATTTTGACTGTGCAATAACAGAGGGGAGCTGGCAGTATCCAGAGTTAGTTCCCTCTTGAGGCCATGAGGGGAAAGGTCCTGATGTGTAGTCAGATGGTAGGTTCATCACAGAGGGCTCCAGAAGGGCAGACTGGTTCTCACATTGAGCGGGCTGCAGTGTGGCGTTAGGACGCTGCTGGTCCTGCTCAGGAGTGCTGCATATTTTGGAGCCTGAGTTACTGTGAGACGTGAGATCTCCTGTGGACCTTGAGAGTGAGTGGCCAGGGAGGGACACGTAATCTTTATCATTAAGCAGGCACGGTGCAGGGAAGAAAGGTGCAGCTTTATTGGATGATGTTTCATTGACCATTGCTGGATGGGCATTAACTGATGTGGATCCTACGTCCTGAAACACAGATAACACATGCATCAAACAGGTGCAACGCAAAAAAAAACAAACAAGCTTTTTAAACCTCCACTTTTTAAATAAGAACATTTTAGAAGCATTTCACTGTTAGCAGGGGGTAAGAAAATAAAAGTTACATTCAGTTAATTATGTTACATTCAGTTAATTATGATTAAACTGATGATTAAAAGAATCTTAAGATAAAACATTATTTTAAAACATAACAAACATAAAAAGTTGCTTTTTTTGGGGGTCTTTTATTCAACTACAACCGGCCTGGAGAGCAGCTTCTTTATGGGATAGCGGGGCTTGTTCAACCAAATAGCTGGTTAAGTGAAGAGAAACTTTCCTGAAATACCAAAAATTTACCTGCTAACAAAAAGGTGATGTGGTTCTATTAATGTTAAAAATAGAAGCAAAAATATTAGAGCTGATATTTAAATATGAGCTTTTTAAACTAACAATAAGGCTACTGTAGCTTTAAGAAAACCTATCGAACTTTAAGAAAGAAAACATTAGTTTATGTGTGTTTCTGATTCGACTTCTGATTCACTTGCCTTGTTGAACATTGATGTATACAGGAAACCCTAGAATGAAAGATTTCACCACCTCATATTATGCTTTTTCAAATAGGAAAATAGTTAACTGATGAACTGGGAAAAAATATAATACATTGAGTGCCCCTTAGAGATAAAAACAAACCTAACCTAGGTAACCAGGCAGTATGATAGGCTTATTATAATTGTACTTTCAGTTTACCTCTCAGGTTTTTTACAGCCTTGCACCAAAACATCCTGTTACAGATATAAGTTCTACTTTGGTATTTTTAAACTCAGCTCACATTCAGATGGTGGGGGGGATGGTTTGGCATAAACAATATGAATGCAAGGATCTTTCCTTCATATTGATGGCTCAGAGTCGAGGAGGTGATGTCATGGTGTGTTACAAAAATGTTGGCACACCTTGGTCTCCTTGGTAAAAGCTGAAAATAGTTTGAAAAAGGTGCGCCTGTGAGTATTGTTTATGCCCTCGATGACCTCAGATTACCCATCTAATAAAGCTGCCTTCAGCATGATAACACCTGAGGTTACGAGCCTCAAATTGGTTCATTGGGCTTTAAGGGGCCTCCATAGATGTTAGATTCCCCTCCAGAGAGAAATGTGGAGGCTCTAAAGCAAAAAGGGGATTCCACCGCATACTAGCAAAGAGTTTCTAAAAAAACTTTTAAAGCCCCATTAGGAATAGATGACATTACTTTTCAGAGAATACTTATTTACTTGGAGACTACATTATTTTTGTCGACGGTGGCTGACCTGACATAGGATGTAAGGTCCACTAAAACTCATAGATGATCCATCCAAGCTTTTAACCTTATCAGTAGGGTTTGGAAGGTAATCACAGTTCCAGCACCTCCCGCTCTTATCCATACACTTCTTCTCAGTGCCCATTGTTGGCCACAGCAAAGCCTCTGATGAGCTGGAGGGAGAAGACAGGTCTTTAATTATCTGTATTTCATCATCTGCCTTTCTTCCTTTAATGTGCCTCAATCCAGAACTCATAAAATCTGCTTTTAAAGGAGAATCCTGTAAAAATGCTTCGTAATGTTGTATTTTTGTAGGTAAAGTGGGATATTTATTACCAGGTTGATATGCTGTCGAGGTGCTGCACGCTACAGATGGAGGTCTTCTCACTCTGCATGAGGCTTGGTGAAGGTGACGACTGAATCAAAAGAAAATGTGAAAATGAAACAAAACTTACAATTACCAGCTGATTAACTTTTTTTTTTGGCTTAAATATTTCAGATCAAACATGTTTTGACATGAGGTAAAGATAAACTGATCAAATGAGATGATGAATTCATTTATTAAAGGAAGAAAGCAATCAAAATCAACTGGGTCCTACAGTATGTCAATATCTTTTTGATTATTTTTTTTTTTTACGTTAAATCCTGAATGAACAGTAATTCTAATCTATCTTTATCTTTTATCAAAGTTTGTCTAATCATCTGAAACATTTAGGTGTGACAATAAGAGCAAAAGCAGAATCATCTGTAAGGAGAAAACACTNTGGAGAGCTGAGCTTACTTTTTAGGAGCCAAAGCTGATTATCACCTGATTATAAAATTGATTAAAATTGAATAAACAGAAACGGTTCTTCAGCAGAACAAAGATCCAAAGCCAAGTCAGAATACAGTCTGATAAAAAAAAAAATACCAAAGAAGTTCTGAAATGTCCTGAATCTAACCGCCAAATCACTGCAAACACATCGTTAGTTCACTTCAGTTGAATCAAACCATTTCTGGAGCTGGGGCAAAACTCCACACTTGTGACTTTAAAGACCAACAATAGGTATTATAAAGTCTTGATGTCAAGCTATTTTCGGGAGGGGTGGACTTACAAAGATTCAGGTTGGGTTTGGAGGCTTTTTGCCCAATTTAAAATTAAATCATAGTTTAAAAAAAATAATTTTGGTATTTAATTGGGGTATCTTTATCTTTTATCAAAGTTTGTCTAATCATCTGAAACATTTAGGTGTGACAATAAGAGCAAAAGCAGAATCATCTGTAAGGAGAAAACACTTTCTCACACAACCTAATACTATATCTGAAGAAATCGAGACATCAGATGCACTCCCGATAAGTGATTCAGCCTCACCGTGATCTCAGACAGGACTTTGCTTTTGCCAGGAGAGGGAACTGAGTCTTCCCATGACATGACCTTCCTAAATTAACAAAAGAAGAACATTTATGTTCATTTAAAAGTGAATATGCTTATTTAGACATTAAAATCTTAGCAAAATTGACTTCTGTTTTAACTATACTTCAAAAATTTGGACACTTTAAAATGAGGCTTACTTCTGGCAAGCTGGGATGGTGTGGTAAAGAGTGAGAAAGGCTGCGGCTGCAATCACACCACTGAAGAAATAAATCAGATATGAGACCGTCCAGCTGGCTGTCAGAGAAGGAAAAACCAGATTAAAGTTGTGATCCTGAGAGGTGTATGTTCAAATCATTATACTTGGACATTTATCTTAGATCTTGCTGAGAGAAACAAAACTAAAAGGGAAACAGAAAACAGCAGGAAAGCATCAACATGCATGCTGATATCGTAAACACACCTTTGTTTGAGGTCCAGTTTGCAGGATCAGACCATTCTGAGGGGATTCCCTCATAGGTTTGACCAGATCCAGGGTCGACCAGTGACCTTACTTTCACCTCGTAGTCCTCCAATGGGATAAGGGATGTTCCTGGAATGGTAACGAAGGTGGATCCGGAAACATTTAGCAGAACAAAAGATCCCTAAGAGGGCAGAAATAAAAGTACAAAAAAAGTGTTTTCAGGAGCTGGGGCGGTGATAAGCATGCAGTGGTGGGAAAATATAAACATGTCAAATGCTCTTACCTGATCTTTTGTCCTATAATACCGAACCTGGTATAGCAGATCTGGTATATCTGCAGGTAGAGCTGGAGGAGACCACGATACCACCCAGTCACCGTTCTCCTCCTTTACTTGGACCAGCGTTGCCAAGTTGGGACGGACTGTTCAAAAAAACCGTTATTTGTATCTTTACTAATAATGTTTCTTTCATAAAACAGCTTCTCATTTTTGCAGCAATTTTGAAAATATATTCTATATACTACTACTATTTATGTTGCTTTTTTTTAACCTATTTTTCCAATATGGGTGTATGGGCATGAATATTAACCATTTTTTAATTGGTTTTAGAGTTTTAATTTTCTATCCACATCACTTTCATTTGTTAACCTAAATCTAAGTACAAATGCAGATCTCAGAGGTTTGTTAAGCAAGAACAAGAAGTACCACTAAGACCAAGGAATATAGCAGACAAACTGATCGGTGGCAAAGATCTGAAGAATTTGATTATAAAAACAATATTCCAAGCTTTGGATTTTTCTCTCAACCACAGTTTAATTCTTCAGCTCCAAATGGAGAGGGTGCAATACAACATAAAAAATCTGAAAATTGAATGCAGAAAACGAACTACTGGAGGAACTAGCACCGCACACCAGCTTGAAAACATAAGGATGCTTTTCTTCCACAAGGACAGGGTAGCTAGACATAGTTGACGGGAAGATGGATGAAAGTAAGTACAAATCAGTCCTGGAAGAAAAGCTGTTAAAGACTGGAGATTTCCAGCCTAAAAAACAATTTAAAAAAAATCCAATCAGAGCAAGAATGCGACGGTTTAAATCAAATGAACTGTGTGTGTTTTAGTTGCCTCAGGTTAAATCAGATAAGAATCTGTTTTAAAGAGCTGAAACTCTTAATCAAATCTGGCTGAGCGTTGGTCACTTTGGACAAATTTATTCTAGATGTGTAAAGCTTTTAGAGACTCACCTCCAGGGCTTACTGCTCAAAGTTTTTCATCTAGAAAGTAAATGAAAAGGCAGGCCAGAGTTGGCCTCTTTTTATTTGTTTTGAAAGCAATGCATTATTTTCTTCCTACGCTATAATTACTGCTCCATTAAAGCACCATTAAAATACAAAAGAAGCTGTGACTGGACACATTGTTAAAATATTCAAGTGAGGCAGCCCAAGGCATAAATGAACTAAGCGACTGCCTAGGACAACTATAATTGTTGTTATTTAGAAGTCAATACATAGACATGAAACAGAAATCAGTGGTCTTTGGACCGTGCTGGAACACATACGATGAAGGACCATTGTAAAGTTCTTCAACACAAACTTATCTTTTAAGACAGTCTAATAGTGATAATAGCGCACTTGCTCCAAAGATATAATAATAATAGTGATTTGATTTTGATTTAATTATGTTATGATTTTATACAACTTATTTTATTATTTTTATCAAAGTTATTGCAATAGTTTGTTGTTATTCTTGCACTGCAGGTATTTTTTCCCCACAATACTATTGTAGCAGGAACACACAAAAAAGTTAAATTAAAATAAGACTTTTTACTCTAATTAAATCAGTTTATTTAGTATTTTAGTATAATGCATATAAATAGGGGATTTTAACTACTGAAGATGTGTCAGCTATTTGATTATTGCACTCTAATTTTTGGCAGAAATAAAAAGCCCCCTAATGGCTTGTGCTGGGCCTGGACAAGACAAACTGCAAACTTTATGGTTTAAAAAACCAGATGGATTAGAATTGCCGCTTTTTTATTTTATTTTATTTTTTACTAAAAGTCATATAGCTAACATGCTTTATTATTTACCTTATGCAAAGATACAAATTTTTTTTTTCTTAATCACTTAACTGTAGTGATTAAAAACGTCCACTAGGGGTCAGTATTGTACCTGATAGTTAGCTACCATCCCAAGTGACAGAGCTGATCTGAGGTTGCTGCAGTGTTTTGCAACCCTGTTCGTAAACACAAAATGTCCTGAGTGTTTTAAATGTTTCCCTGCTTCAGCAAAGATCATTTCAATCAATGGCTGATAAATATTATTTTTCTACTCCGAATTCATCTGAAACATTGAGAAGCATCTAAAATGGGGATCAACAACCTTTTTGAAGCTGTTGATGCTTAATGCGTTCTGAGACAAACAAAAAGCTACTAATACTGACCTATGAACTAGAAGAGCCAACATTCACCTTCATTTTATGTAATATTTCAGATTTTGGAACTGCTGCTATAATGTGCTGATTTGGATGCAATAGCACAAAACAAACACTAAGTGGTACTGTACAACTATGCCATAAACCTTGTTGACTAGTTTATATCTGCACTGTTTCCTGTGGTTTTATCACCCCCCTGTGTGTTTTTAATTTAGGCTGCTCAGATAGGCACAGAGGGACTGCTGTCTTCCCTTCTCACCTCCTCGTCTTAAGCGGCTGCCTCTGACTTCTTTGTACTCACTGTGCTTGTAGGCTATAAAAGTCTTCGTATTGTGCATTGGCAGGAGCCTCAGGTGCAGATGTTCAAGGTCTACTTCAGTAAGAGAGCAGCTGTAATTCACTTCAGTCAATGCAGGGTCAGATCTCACAACTGGGTCTGTGCAACACTGCTTAAACCTTAAAGGATCAAAGTTTGCAGTAGATCAGAAATTGGACAGCCAGTGTGTGTTTTCAGTTCAGAACATATTGCACCAAACACGGTTTGCCTTACTGAGTAGTCAGGTTGTGTCGACAGGTCAGCTGGTAGGTGACGATATGAGCCAGCTCCCTGCTCACCTCCCAGCTACACGTCACTTTGTCTTCTGCATCCAAAATGCAGTGCAAAGAGGGAACCTGCCTGAAGTCTGGTATCAGAAAGACAGAAAAAGAAAGTTACCAACACAGCTGGAAAGCACCATGTGTATTCCCATAAGCGGAAAAGATTAAAGTTTCAATTAAAACCATAACAATTTGATCTACAGCCTATCTCAACAATGTCTTCTTACTCTTTGAACCCATCCAATCTAATAATTCAACAAGGCAATATTCTTACTGGCATTGTATGTGCCAGACCAACAGAATGTAGTACATGATTGTGAATGGTAGGAAAAATGTTAATGGTTCAGTTAAAAGTTCACTAATCCAAATCTTGTGTGACTTGCATTTATCTTCAATTCAATTCAGTTATACTTTATTTATCCCTGAAGTGAAATTTAGTTTCGGTACAGCCTGTCCAAGAAGACAGAAACATACAAAGGACATATAAACACAGAAACATACTTTGTCCTTAGCAGGATACAATTGAGACTGCAAAAAAAACGAGCACATAAGATTCTAAAAAAGTTAAAAAAAAAACACTGGACTTTGATTTCGAGTTATGATGAGGTTTCGCTTCCCATCCACGAAGCTTTCTCAATTCAAAATGTCTGCAGTAGAGTTTGAGTTCCAGGCTTATAGAGTGGCACAAACAAAAGCCTTGATATGGCTTAGAAAACGTGCAAATTAAAAAGAAAAACAGGTCCAGCAGTGAATCAGCTTCAAACTTGGAAAACAGAGTCCAGTGGTTTGTTTTTAAACTTTTTAAACTTTTTTGGAATGACTATGACCTGGATGCAAACACAGATAAGTGACATCTTTTAGGCAAGATGAACATCGAGGAAGATTAGAGGTACGTGTATCATATCTGAACAGCGTGTGCACAAAGTGAGTCCATGAAGCCCTGTCCCCAGGGTTAATGTCCTTGACTGATGTAACAGTTCATCAGCTGAACAATAGGCAACTTCACAGAGGCAGCTTCACTCAGCCCCTTTGTGTCTAATAAGAACCCTCTTTTTGTACAAGAACGACTGCAAGTCTTTTAGGGCTTACTTTTAACAGCGCTTAGCATAAAGCCTTAAAGGGGAACGCCGTTTTTTTACATTTAGCCCTTGATTGTACGTTATTACATCATGTTCTACTCAACTCTATGAGTTTTGTGTCATTTGGAGCTGTTCTGAAGATATTCCGTTAGGTTATATCCAGGTAACGTCTTCCTATGGGCAACGACTTAAAGGCACATACTAAACTGTTCATAATTTATCATTTATGGTACGCCAGCATTCATAACATGTAGGCGAATCACTGTCCCCCACACATCCGCGGTTATATTTTTTATATTTCTATTTTTTAAAAACAAAGCGGTGTGTGTATGACGTCATCCGCGTGCGCCGGCTACCGTTCATTCATCCTGTCCGCTGAACAGCAGCTAGTTTTACTCACATGCCTGGAAGATGTCTAGTGCTACTACCACAGATGATCTCGCTCTCTAAATGCAATTGAACGATTCAGATTAGGTAGCCGAATGAATAGAAGGGGTAGAGCGTAACCGCCTGGTGTACATTGGTTAAATAAAGTTTTATTTTGAAAAAAAACAAAAACAAAATGGAAACCGGAACCCGGCACGCGGATGACATCATAAAAAAATATAAATATAAAAAATATAACATAAATATGATATAAATATAAATATAAAAAATATAACGGTAGATGTCTGGGGGACAGTGATTCGCCTCCGTGTTATGAATGCTGGCGTACCATAAAGAATCAATTATGAACAATTATGAACAGTTTATGAATCATGAACGGAATATGTTCAGAACGGCTCCAAATGACACAAAACTCAGATGGGTGAGTAGAACATGATGCAATAACATAAAATCAAGGACCCAATGTAAAAAAACCAAAATTCCCCTTTAAGGCAAATGTTAGTTTTCCATCACACCTTTTGAATGTTGACGGAAAATACCTGCTTTGGTCTCATCTTACAAAAGCAACCTCTGTCTAAATTTGTGAAGTGGATCTTTCCATTTCCTCCAGAGATATAACCCTTTATGCTCTCCTTGTCCAGCTTGTCATATCACTGTCTTTTTGATGTTGTTTGTCACTCACCATCTCTAGTCTTCCACATCACCACAGGACTCCATTCGCTCCACAGGCCAAGACTCGCCCTGCTTCTCACCCTGGCTTCATATTTACAGCCTGGAAGCAGCCTCTGCCTCTGAAGGGTAATGCTTGTGTTGGCGACAGTCTCAGTCTGTGCAGAGAGTGATATGTGGTGTACAATTACTATTAGATACAGAAAATGAACTATTTCTGATGAGAACTTTTATGAGCTGTACAGAAATGTAGTCAGGTGTAGGTTTGATGTGTTTGAAACTAACAGTCCACTGGTCCTCCGCCTGCATCCTGAAGCTGAGCTCATACGTAAGGTTTCTGTTCAGCGAGGAAGATGACGGATATGGGCTGGACCACAGCAGCGTTTGGTTTCCATCGCTCTCCTCAGATACGTACAGATTCCTCGGCGGGCGTGCTCTCACTGTGTAACACCATCAAATAACAGCATCATCTCTATAGCACTTCATTTTGCTCAATATAAGCTACCACAGTGTCTGTGCTTACAGTGCTGAACAAGATTCTGGGACGTGTGCTGGGAAGATGAGCAGAGACTTGTTGTCTGGTTGTTTATGAGGAAGACAGCGTGGTTGATGCCCTGAGCAAACGAGTGAGTCTTATATCTGCATTGGACAACTCCTTCCTCATCCTTGTTTTCGGCTTCAAAGGGCACACACAGCTTACTGAGTAAATATAAAAAAATAAATCAGTTAGATGTAAAGCCGTGCCTGAAAATGGTAGCTTCTATAGATTTTGCTCTTGTCCTTCTCCTGACCCCTGTGCTCTATTTACCTGCTGCTATCTCTGCTGCCCACTTTCTTCAACCAGACCTGCAGTGTCGTGCCTTTTGGTGCCTTCCACTTACAATACACAAAGGACATGTAGTCGTTATGGCATTGCAGGGACTGCAGCAAAGGAGACACTGTGGAGGGAGAAGCATCAGTAAATATATTGCTGAAGAATCATAAATGAGAACATATCATTTATGACATTTCTTAATTTAATCATCCAGTGCAAGATGGTTATACAGCAGAGAGAATTAAAGGGAAGTGTGAGAAAAAAGGGGCTTTTGTGGGGCTTTTATTAGAGGCTAACATCTTACCTCTATATATACGTCTGTTTAAAGAAATATATTAACTCTTCATAGATAACGTATTAACAACTTTAGTCTGAGGCTGTAACAGCAGTAGATTTGAACACTAGTTTGTAACACATTATACCGCCTCCCTTGAGGGGTTTTGTTGTTTTTATATTTGGGGTTACTGTTAAACTTCAACATGCTGCTTTTTACACAATGTACTTAAATGAAAAAGAAACTGAAGATGTTTATGGCATCTTAGAGGTTTATCAGATATTTGAGGTTAAATATCTCCTCATATTTTAAATTCCTTCAACAATTGTGGTATTTTATAATTAATATATGAAAAAAGCAGATTGAATGATACTAAAAAACGATCAAAGAGATTAAAACTCTTTTAAAGAAACATACCAGATTAAAAGTTGCCCCCCCTAAAGGAAAGTTGTTTTAAATGTTAAAAGTTGTTTTGTCTGTGTCATGATCATGGCCTAATTGCTCTTTTTATTCACCTGCCAAACTCTGCCAGTTTTATTATTATTGCTCACCTTATTCCACCTGTTCCTGCTTCTATTTATATATATATATATATATATATATATATATCAGTCCCAGCCATTGGGGCCAGACTATCAATGTTTAGATAATGTGATGCTCTTGATCACGTCCTCAGTGTAGAGAGAGGTTTTTAGCATTCCATAGTGTTCCTTATATCCTGACCGGTTCTGCCTCTCAACCACTAGGCTTGCTGTTCCCATCTGAACGTTCTGCCTGAACTCTCTGTGGACTTCTGGAACCCTGGACCAGCCTGTTTCTGTCCTCATCGGTATCCCTGACTGGGCTCCGGACTCCTGGACCTCTAAGCCTTCCTGTTCTGATCTGTTTTCCTGATCTGGCTCAGATTCCTGCTGGTTTTCTGGGGCTGCAGCATTTAGGACACTCTGGGTGGTGCCTGCCTCATCTTCTTGGCAGCCCCCGACTGGATCCTACCGCAATCTATGGCGATGGACTGAACTGTTAAACCTCATAAGTGACTCACATGGACATTTTCCCTCAGCTTCCTTCTTGTCAGACAGCTCCTTATCGTCAGATTATCATGGTCATTAATATTTATTTATCTCCAAGCAGAGTTTCCAGTGATGGGCGTTGCTCAGCTGCAGTCACTGCAGATCCGCAAATGTGCATTTTAATAAACGCTTTGAATTATCCTACTGTCTCTCTACCACTGTTGTATAGTAACGAAGTAAAAATACTTCACTACTGTACTTAAGTATATTTTGGAGTACTTTATACTTTCCAAGAGTATAAATTTTTTTGAGAACTTTCACTTTTACTTTACTACATTTACAAACTTAATTGCATGCTTTTACTCCGATACACGTTCAGTGTTTGGTTTAGTTACTAAGTAAAAAAAAAAAAAGAGCGAGAGAAACGCAAGCGTTTTGACCCCTACTGACGACAAAGTCTTGTTCATCAACACCAATAGGATACGTCTTTTTCGCAAAGCCAGTCTAAATTTATCCTACACTTGGTTGTGTATATTATTTTAAGTGAATTTAACCTTTAAAGTTTACCAAAATGTAAAAAAATGTCATTCAAACTGCACTTACTTTTTACTTATACTTTTCACTACATTACTTGAGTACATCTATTTTTACAGTAATTCTTATACTTAAGTAAAAGTCATTTCAGATACTTTAAGGCTTTTACTCAAGTAACATTTGAGTCAGTGACTTGGACTTTTACCAAATTCATATTCCGGAGAGGTACTTATACTATTACTTGACTCCGACATTTCAGTATTTTATACAACACTGCTCTCTAGCCTAGAATACTGGAATACTCTAACAGTTTGTACTGTATGCTTCGAAAATGTATTTGTCCCCTTCAGATTTTTATCCTTATTTATTTTGTTTGTCTCACTTAAATGTTTCAGATTATTAAACAAATTATTGCATCGAACCAAATCACCTAGAGTATATACACAATGTGATTTAAAGTTAATCTGAATCATCTTGGCTTTATCTGAAAAAGCATTCAAACTGAAACCTGGTTGTGTCACCGAGGGTTTCAATACCTTCCACAGAGCTTTGGAGGAGTATTGGTCCCCTCTTCTTCGCAGGCATGTTTTAATTCAGTGAAATTCGAGAGTTTTCTAGCACCAACAGATTGTGTAAGGTCACGCCACACCATTGTGATCAGATTTAGGTCCAGACTTCGACAAGACTACTTCAAAACTTTCATTTGTTTGAAACATTCAGGTCCACTTGCTGGTTAACCTTAAATCATTTAGTGATTTCTTCATTTATCAGCAAATGTAAGCGGGGTCTACATTCTCCAAATAGATATTTTTTGTATAATATGGGAATTTTAATTTTCTTTTGTTGATTTTTACCTTGAAACTCTGTCATAGATCATTTTTCATCTCTGAGTCTTTCTGATGGTTCATCGCTTGCAATAAATATGGCAAGTAAGAACTTTTTCTTTTCCGTAACCTTCTGGGTGAGTTGCTGGTAAATTCTTGCAGTGATGTTATTAATTATCTCAGTGTTGTTTTCATTTTCTTATCATTCTAACAAATATGCATCAAATTAACAAAAAAATATATGCTTTTTTAAAATTATTTTTAAAAGTTTTTTTTTTACTTTTTAGTTGGATACTCACTGTTTTTGCTGTTGCTTTCATGAACTTCACAATGATCCAAACCAGAAAAGAGAGCGTGATGTGGAAAAGCCAAACACACCAAGATCCAGAGGACAATCATCCTTCACCTGTCAACGAGGGCTTCACAGTCCTGTTTGTTTTCTTGCCTGGTTTTCCTAATCCACATGGGCTGCGTATCTTCACATCATCAAGGAGCTTGTGCGGCAGGGGTGAGACTGCTCAGTTTTTTTTTTAAATTCTGATATATATATATCTATATATATATAGATATATATATACACAGACAGCATACATGGATTTAAGAAGGACAGAGAGAGAAACAGTTCATTTACTAGAAATTATGCAGAAATGAGTCACGACAACATCAGCTATAGTCTTCCGCTATGAGTGTGGGCTTTTTGTGGGATGTCACCACACATCCGCCTTCCTCTTATCTCTCTTTCTCACATGTGATATACAAAAAAAGAACAATCATATACTCTGGGGAGCTCACACATTGGTATGAGAAAACAAACAAATAAATAACATTGAAAGTTTTGTAGAAAAAAGATGGTTAATTAAAAAAAAAAAAAAAAAAAAAGGTGACTAAAAATCTTTAGATGGTAGCTCTCTGCACAAGATTAATAAGACCTTTGCCATTTTTAAAGGTTTTACAACATAAAAGTAATTTTTCCTCATATATTTTGGAGCTGCAGAAGTGCAGATACCAACTTACAAATAGCTATAAAATAAATATATACAATCCTTACTTCAACTTTTATTGTTTTGAAAAAGATGATAATGAAACCAATTTTTTATTAGCTTTACAGTTTTTAACATACTGTCATATGGATAATGTCACTTGCTTTTATTTTATGGAATCTGATCAAACTATCGACACTATTTCTTGTAAGGTCCTGCTAATATATGTTTGACATTGTTTATACATATATTGTGTGCGCATCAAATAATCCTAAAGGATTAAGGAATATGCTTTTAAACCTAAGGTTTAAAAAGAACAGCTTAAAAAAAGGGAAACCACATAAGATTGGATAGTTTCAGTTTGTGGTTTTAGGTGAAACATTAATTTATCAGTACATTTACAGTAAAAAGGGTTTTTCTTTTTAAGGGTCTCTTGGGCCTGACTTTTACCTTTTTAGCTGCTGTTTTACAGTAGCAGTTTGGGGAAACCCCACACAGAGAATATCAGAAATTCTGTTTATATCTGTGAAACCTTCAGGCACATTCTTTAAGACGGAAAAATTTACACACAGAAAAGCAAGAAGGTGAAAAGAAAGCAGCAGCTTTCAGTTTTACATATGATTTATTGCTATGTATCATCATTTATAATCTGAATGCATATGTTATTTTTTTTATCTATAATATAAAATCTGATAAAAAAAACTCAGTTACCTTTTTTTCATTGACAAAGAGTCTTTTTCCTTTGTCCGTCACTCGTCACAGCCTCCTTCTTGTCTGACAGCTCCTTATGAACATTGACGAGAACTCTGTGGGAGTTTCCTGTGCGGCAGCTTCAGTTTCCCCTTTCTGTCCAGGGTGACTGTTAATGTCAGCTTGTCTGTAATGCACAATAAGTTATTTTCTTCCTCTGGTGACAAGAGGCACATAAAAGCTTCAAGCTACCCGATCTATTGAAATAAATATATAACTCATTATTGATGTATTATTCAGAAATCAATTAGAGTTCTAAATACTCTCTTGTTGGAGCATTATCGTAAAATATTTGGACGACAGGATCTAGAATAACATCTTGAATAACAAAAAAAAAAAAAAAGAAGAAAAATTTGGTTTTTGAGGTTCTTTAAAAGATTTTCAAGATGAAGGCAAGTAAAACCAAATAACCAGCTTTATGTGGCTCGGCCGCATGTAGAGTAACTGAAACCTCTGCCTGTGCCACAACAAACTTTGTGTTTACATGTTGAAGGTGTATCAACTCCTCTGTATGAGATCCACATGCAACGATATTTACAGTGTTTCCTAACCAAATTAATTTAAATATTTTAAATATTCCTACTTGTGAAACTAAATGCTCGCCTTGAGCTGCAGTAAGACAAGACAGGAGTAATGAAGGTGGCTTCAAAGTGTCTTCATTCAGTGTTAAAGACTATGCTGTGCATTTTTGTTCTTATGTCAGTTTCAACAATTCTCATATGATATAAACAAAGTTTAATAAATCAATTAGAGATTAGTGCAAAAAAAAGTGGTTTATCATAAAAATATGCCTTTGTAAAATGAAAAAAAAAAATCACCAATAAAAAGCTTTCTTTCAATTTATTGAAAACATTTTTTTTTTTTTTTTACAGAGGCAGTTATTGGCAGCCTTTGTGTGTAAAAAACAAACAAACAAACAAACAAACAGATTAGATAAATCCTTAATTGCAGTAGCATAATCTATCTCTGAAAAATTATATATCCAGGGTAAAAAAAGAAAAATAATTCTTTTACAAAATCCAACATTTATGACACCAGGTTAAACAAATACTTATATTGTTTTGCCTCCACAAACAGTAACCAGGTTGCAAAGGGAAGAATGAATAAAACTTCCAAAGCTTATAAACCTGCAGAGCAACCACTAGAGCCCATTAATATGCCAGGATGGTTAAAAAAAAAAAAGATCTGCTGGACAGAATATTAATTTGCTTTAAGCCTTTTTTGGATGATTTTACCAGCATGGTGAACAAATTTCTCATCAGCTACATACAGCAAAGGCGGGCCTGCAGAGTTTGCACTTTGTGGATATTCTTTTAAAATATTAGGATGACTACATCTTAAATTTCATCATGGATTCACTGTAGACAGCTCTGTATTCTAGAAACACTGAGCTGCAAAAACAACTTAAAAAGAGAAATAAACAATTCTTTATGACAAGATCAAAGATGTCTTGTGACTTTCATTTCTTCACAAATGTAATTTATACCTGGTATTTAATCTAAACATAATTAGCCTCTTTAAGGCATTTTCTTTTTCTTTAGATTCCAGGTATGAAATGTTGCCTTTAGAGGGTTTTGAAGTCAAAACAGTGTAATACGTATTTTATTATTTCATTTTTATTATATCTAAAATTTAAATAGGAAACAATTAACAATGATAAGAACAATATTAAATAAAAAATGCAATAATAAATCTTTAATGGTTATCAGAATTTCCCTCCATTGATGTTATACGCAGCAGCTTATTTGCTCTGGTGTGACTCTTTGCAGTCAGCTAACAGTGTTGATTCAAATGGTTCAGTTTCTTGTGGTTGATTTAACACTAATATCAGCCCTTTATTCATGGAGTTTAATTCTCATAACAGAATTACATTAGTTACACATTCATCACTTGTTGACAGATAGAGCAAACCATGCTTTAAATGCTCAGACTTTAGTCAAAAGGGAAAATAAAATGCATTCAAGGATGAACAAAACAAATTTTTTAAAATGTGCTTAAAGAAGCCTTTTTTTCTGAGATTGGAGCAGCATTTTATGCAATCCTCGCTCAAATGCCGATTCCTCAAACCAAAGTTAGGAACTTCTGTATGACTAATAAAAGTTTTTCAGATCTTCTTTCTTAAATGCATTGGCTGTTTTCTAGAAAACGGATGAAGGCTCAGTGTTTCGCACACGCAGGCAGGGCTGTTTTTAAACTGCCAGCTCTTGTTTCACATAACTGCTCTCCATGCATTAATGTTGCAACCAAAGCTTTTAGCTTTTTCAGAGTTTTCCGTTTATCTAACAAAAGCTGTAAGAAAGTTTTATTATGACTTATCATAACGGTTTGAGAACAGTGAGAAAACACAAAAGGTGTAATTTCACAAAAAGGCCAAGGAGATGATTAAAATAAAATTTTAAATCAACTTGATACAGGATCATGCTGTAACAGATGCACTCTTAAAGCTGTTGAGTTTAGCCAAGATGGTTTGGTTTTTTTCTGGTTATAAATTGAGCGATCAAGTCCTGAGCTGTTGTAGAGCAACAAGGAAGAAAAACTTGTTTTGCTAAATGAGCCAGACTACCCTCCCCCACTAAAAGAAGTTGGAAAGTATCTGATATTGATAAAAAGATGAAAGTTTGATTGAAAAAAATAAACCAGGACATAAATTACAAAAAGGCAATTCTTAGTAACCTTTTTATTTGGAAAACAAGACGGTGAGTCTAAGCACTGTCCACAGTAGACCATGTCTGTTTAACGTCCCTTATCCCAATGCATATGCACTACAAGCCAGAGGTGCATAAAGGGAGACATATATACCTCTTTCCACAAAACGAGAATTTTTGAAAACAGCAGCTTAGAGCAGTGTTTTCCAACCTTTTTTGACTTGTGTTCCCCTTTGGACATTTTGCCCTACTGTGAGTACCCCTCTTGTGAAAAGTATTGTCCAAAAGTGGAATGCACAATAACTGATTATAAAATAAAAGCTATTTTACTTAACTTTTTTAGTATGAGTATTTAATTCTTCGGCGTTTTATCATTTCCATATCAAATAAAAAATGACATAAACATGTTTCCTGGAAGTTAGTAAGGAATCTAAATAAATAATATTATATATATATAATAATATTATAATCCTGTATTTATAAATCTGGAGCTCCTCTGAGTAACGCCCTTATAAATCACATTTAAACTTGATGAACTGGGAACAAAATAAAGAACAAAAATTATAGTCAGGCTGACTATAATAACGCCTGAGCTGCTTTGATTAGCTCCGATAGCTCAGTGTGAAAACCGCCTGATCCCAGGCTGTTCTCTACATCCAGTCTGTTCCTCTGCTTGGTTTTGATGTTTGTCACATGTGAAGGTAAACACAAACATGTAAGAAAAATTGACTTTTATGATGATAAAAGCTTGTTTAAATTTTCAGTTGAGTCCTCACACAGCAAATCAGATTACAGCCCTATTTTATTTAAATACCTAAGAAATAATGACATTTATGCACTATTTTTGCACGCCACGCCTAGTGGTCCATGACTGCATTGCAAGGGTCACATGAAAAGATTTTATCAGAATCAGAAATACTTTAATAATCCCAGACGGAAATAACTTTTGTTACACACTCCAGTTACAGTTTTATACATATATATATATATATAAATATATATATATATGTATAAAACTGTAACTGGAGTGTGTAACAAAAGTTATTTCCGTCTGGGATTATTAAAGTATTTCTGATTCTGATAAAATCTTTTCATGTGACCCTTGCAATGCAGTCATGGACCACTAGGCGTACACTTACCCCTGGTTGGGAAAGACTGGCTTGGATTGAAAATA